AACAGAAGGGAGAAGAAAGATGGGAAGAGAGGGATAGGAGGGAGGGGAAGGGCGGAAGATGAGGAGGATAAGGAGGAGTGGATGTAGAGAGAGGAGAAGGAGAAAGGGAGGGGAAGTAGGGTAGAAAAGGATGATGGAGGGAAGAAAGGAGGTAGGAGAGAGGTAGAAGGTGTATGGAGAGCAGAAGAGCTATAATGGGTTTCTATTTTTCTGGCTATTGTTGACAAGAGGAATTGATGTAATTATTATTTAATACTATATGATAGGGGCTATGTATAGTATACATGTGAGTGTGTGTTATGAAAATGAAAATGGAAATAAAAAATATTTATATATAAAAAAAAGAAACTAGCTTCTTCTTTCTACGTAACAGGAATCACACAACTGCGCTTCAAACCTGCTTACAATCCTTACACAGAGCCCAGCATGGAGGTTTTCAGCTACCATCAAGGTGAAATTTTTTTTAAAAAAAAAAGATATATTAAAAACAAAAGAATTGTGTAGTTGAAGTGTAGTTTTGGCTACGGCAGAATTTGAGTGCTCTTCCCTCTTCAAATTAAACAGTTTTCCCAAACGACTTAGTTGATTTACAAAATAACCTTTGGCAGTAAAGATCAATCATGCAAAGTACTGGGAATAATGAAAGCAACTTTTGAGGAAATGTCAATAAGTCTGTTTTCAGCTTGCTTCCACATCAGTCAAGGAGGCATCAGTTGCATGCCTATTGTCTTTAAGAAATAATTCCAACTGCTTTCATTTCAGCCATTGATAATTCCTTTACGACTCACATAATTGCAAAAAATTGAGAATACACTATAACTGAGGAAACTTTCTGTGTTAACACACTTTGAAAGCATGCATTGTCATCATCTGTTGTTGGAGTTCCTCTTTGAGGTCCTTGATATTTAAAGGAAATACCCCCCCCCCACTTAAACAAAACACTTTTCAGAACACAATGACAACATTTTCAGTCTTTCAGATTAAATGGGTAGCTCATTTAGGCCTCATTTCCCCCCCCCCCACGCCCCTTATAAAATATAATAAATACCTTACCATATTCTCCTTGGTGTATGGCTGTTCAGCTAATAAATAAATAAAAATGCTTAAAACCCATAAGATAATTCTTATTTTAAGATAATTCTTATTTTAAGATAATTCTTATCTTATTAATTATAAGAGCCGAGGTGGTGCAGTGGTTAGGGTGCAGCACTGCAGGCCACTTCAGCTGACTGTGATCTGCAGTTCGGCGGTTCTAATCTCACCGGCTCAAGATTTGACTCAGCCTTCCATCCTTCCGAGGTGGGTGAAATGAGGACCCGGACTGTGGGGGCAAGTTGCTGACTCAATTTGNGTATGTATGTATGTATGTATGTATGTATGTATGTATGTATGTACATGTATAATGAATTGCTTTAGTTTGCAAATCTCTTACGAAATACTCTTTGCAATAGAACTTTGAATGATTCTGCCTTCTTCCCAAGAGATGATGCATCAAAACTTGTGTTTCATTTTAGGACCATAAAGACATATTGGGTTAAAAAAGGAAGAGCTTTTAGCACAACTATTGCTAAACAAGAGACAGATCTTACACCAGAGATGATTGCCAGGTAAGCAATTCTGATGTCACTTATAGTATGGTCCTGGTTAAGTTTGGATCTGGGCCTACAAATTGCCATTTCTGCCTGGAATTTGCTTTTGATTTCTGCACGTGGACCTTGGTTACAGGTTTGCTTCACTATATAGAGTCAAATTTCACCCTTTACAGTCTTGCAACTAACAAGATGCTAAAATGGATTCATGCCTTCAAACCCTTCCTGGCAAAATTCTTAACCTCCCTGTTTTCAATTGTGTTTGATTGCCTTTATATAAAGTTTAAAAAAATGAGTGTGAATGAAGATATATATTGTTGTAATGGAAACTGTTCTCAGAGCAATCACAGCCTATTGCTAAATGCATTATCTTTCTCGTGTTCTTCCTGTTCCCCCCACCCCATACTTGCAGTGGTTCTTGGAGAGATTTGAAATTCAAGTCTTATAATTTTGAGGCACTGGGCATTATGCCTGAGAGCGGCCATCTCCACCCATTGCTGAAGGTCCGCACTCAGTTCCGGCAGATCTTCCTTGAAATGGGGTATGTACTAAAAAATAATACGGGCAGGAAAAGAGTCAACTCAAACATACCCATCTTTGGGATTCAGTCACATTGTATACAAAATAATGGCTGCTAGGAAAATACAAGAAATTTATTTTCGTGACCCGACAAAAGGGCGAACGACTAAACCGCGCCCGACTAAACCGCGTCGCTAAAACCGCGATGTCATCAATGCGCCGACAACAGTGTGCCTACAACAGCGCGGAGACAGAAGGGCGATTTCAGTCGACGGGGGCAATTTAAGTTAAGATAAGGGTTAGGTTTAGGGTTAGGTTTAGCGTTACGTTTAGGGTTAGCGTTAACGTTTAGGGTTAGGGTTAGTTTTACAGCGCGCTTCTGTCGCCGCGCTGTTGTCGCCGCGTTTCAGCGCTCATTCGTCGGACTGCTTTAGAACACGCGGTTTTGTCACCGCGGTCGGGCAGTGTTTTGTCATTCGCCCTTTTGTCGGTGAACCATTTTTGTTAATTGGGTGTAAATAAATTCCTCTGAGTATTTTGGCTAGAGCAAGTCCCCTTTGGTGGCTATTGTGGCTAGATGTGATGGGTTCACCGACAAACGCACACTCGACAAAACCGCGCTGACAAAACCGCGGCGAGAAAACAGCGAGGATGAAATCACGCCCACAGAAGCGCGCTGATAAGTGCGCGCCGACGAAAGCGCGCCATCAACAAACAACACAAAAACAACGTAATAACCCTAAACCTAACCCTAACCCTTACCTTAACCCTAATCGCGCTTTCGTCGGCGCACATTTATCGGCACGCTTCTGTGGGCGCGATTTCGTCCTCGCTGTTTTCTCGCCACGGTTTTGTCGGGCGCGCATTTGACGGGTCACGGATGAGATGTTTTTCCCTGTGCTAATGTCAGAGTATAAGTTAGGCATGGGACCCATCCCCTTAATGTTTAATTGAAACTTTGTCTCCCTCTTCAGTTTCACAGAAATGCCCACCAATAATTACATTGAGAGCTCCTTCTGGAATTTTGATGCCCTCTTTCAACCACAGCAGCATCCGGCCCGAGACCAGCATGACACTTTCTTCATGAAGGGTTGGTTCCATTGATCATCTAAAACAGTGTTTCTCAACCTTGGCGACTTTAAGTCCTTTGGACTTCAACTCCCAGAATTCCTCAGCCAGCACAGCTGGCTGAGGAATTCTAGGAGTTGAAGTCCAAAGGACTTAAAGTCGCCAAGGTTGAGAAACACTGATCTAAAATATAACAACTTTTATCTCTTAATATGTCAGAGTGAAGAATATATAATTTTGGTCTCCTTTTAAGGCTGATTTGGAGCTGCAGGTCCCTATGCATTTCCTACAGAGATCTGATCAGGCATCCGGGGGCCACTTGGTTCCCATTTAAATGTGTAGCTGCCCTTTTAAATTGCTCTAAGTGTATTTTTACAAAATTGAGCATTGGAACATTTAGGATGTTGTCTGCATGCTATGGATATGAACCAAACAGCTCCATGTGAAGAACCTGCCAACATAAGGAAGGAGTAAAAATGAAGTGAGGATATAGAGTATATGAGAGTATAAGAAAGGAGCTAACGGCAATCCTATAGTGTATGTTAACACTGCAAGTCGGAAGTCAAGATAAATATCCCATCAATTTCTCCTTGTCCCTTCCCTTCCCTAGAATTACCCTTTCCTTGGACAATACCAAAAGTCCATTGCTTTCATTTCCCTTCCCATCCCAGACCTCCTCTTTGAATAAATTCAGCATTCATATTTGTCCCAATAATTTGAGTATTCTAAATCTAACTCTTTATCATTTTGTGAATGGGTGTGCTCCCTATGAGTACCATTTTTGAGAAGTTGTAA